CCCCCCCAATGGTGAGTGGTAAAACCCGCCAGTGACTCTAGATCCAACTTTCCATATTTAATATATTTATCGCTTGTTTTACTCAATAGTATGATTGTTAGAAATTGTAATCTATAATGTGTAAAAAAATAATTTATGCATTTGCAGTTTCATTTGTTTGCCTTTTCAACAAATTTTTATTATTAGTTCACTTTTGTTCAATCGTTATATACCAACAAGTGTACAACACTAAAGTTTCAAATATTGTTAGCGCGTTCCAATACAGCAAGTTTTAAAAGTTTTTATGTCGAATATAATCTACCTACTTAATCTAGTTATATGTATATTCGTATGGTAGTATTGAACATTATATAATGATGATTCACTACTAAACTAGTTAGGTACTCATATTGTATTCAATAATATTATAAATATTTTTAGGTTCTTACCACCAGTGGCGTGTCTGTATTATAATTTTTATCTCATATGGTCAACTATTTAATTTTAACAGTATAAAATAAAATTAATCATTTTCCTGAAATCTCCATATGGCTCTGCACTCGCCGATTGTTTATATTTTCTCATTATCAATTCTATTGTGTATAACCATTAACCATGGATCATAAAATATTATTATTMTTCTACCTATTATACAACAGCACTTTAATAATATGAACATTGAATAAGCGTAACGGTTCTGATAATATACCTATAAATTATAATAATATAGCAATATCACACACAGCATGTATAATTATAATAAATGATAATTAAAAGCATCGAAGTTTTTCTTTAGCATTTTTTATGGTTATAAGAGTGTAAATTAATTGCTTTTGTTTAAAATAATTGTACGTCACATATTCGTATACGGAGTTGGGTACATTTTTATGGCGTACTTAAGCTACTTAAGATAACTTAGGTTATTAGGCATAATACCTATATCGGCTATATTTTTAAGCACCCTTAAGAGTTGGAAGAAAAATTACATTAAGTCGTATATGCCAGATGTCTAAGTAAAATATATACTAGCCAGTGAAAATCATTCTAAAATTCTAAATTATATTTATTTTAAAATTTACCTACTATACCAGGGGTGGCCACAACGAAGCTCGCGAGCTGCATGCGACTCTTAAATCAATTTCGTGAGGCTCTTGAACCAAACTYAGACTAAAATTTAAAGTAAATAAATGTTCCTTCATTTGTTTTAAAATGAAAAATGTATCTTTATTTTGTAAACATTGCTTTACAATGTGTGGCTCACTTCGAATTAACTTTATAAATTTGCGGCTYCCAAAGTTAAGGTTAGTGGCCACCCCTGTACTATACAATTGSAAAATGTATGGCTTAAAAAAATGTAGAAAAAATGTGAATGTCAATTTTTAGGAACATTAGCAAGTTTTATTATTAAGTTCTTCAATCCTTTGTGAATTGTGAGTAATATCGAGTCATAATTCTGTAACTATATGTGAAAGTGAAATATTCTTTAAGTACAAAAATTTCCACGTGGCTTATAAAGTTATAAATTATAAGCTAACTTATAATATAACTTTAGTTTCAACCCAATATCCTATAGAAAATCAATCATTTCAAATCACTGTTGTTTGTATTTATTTCGATTAAATATATTTAGACAGTCACACCAGTCAGTATCGTATCATATTCATATAATACATATGTATTATATTATATATTTATATACCACTATGTTCCTATATGATACCTATATAATAATAATTATTGTCCTCTGTTTTTTTTCCAATTACTATAACTATTTCTTTTCTTACCGAAATAAATAAAATAATTACGATATCTATATAATGTTGTAGTTATGATACATTTTTCCATATACAATTATTTAAGCGCTTTACCATTTTTGTAGGTCATTATTCGAGGGTATTGAACTCGCACTAATCACATATGTCATATAATACCATATAACTGTGCATTATACTGTCGTTGAATGATTTTATAATGACCGTGACGTTTTTTTATGTATAGTACCAAGAAGTAAACTCCGGAAAAATAATGGATTTAGACGAGATCCTAAGCAACTTTGGATTGGGCTCATATCAAGTCACCGTCTGTGCTCTGATGGGGCTTGTGCTCATGTACTCGAACATATCACCGCTTAGTTACGCCATTACAGCCGGTGACCTTAAATACAGGTAAACTTGTGGGATATTTTTTTCACATCAGATAATATACGTATATTTATAGTATACGTTTTTATTACTGCGAACTGGACACAATAATTACGGACTATATACCTTAAAACCAGAACATGCACATGATCGTATAGATATTCAATTATATACGCACAATTAATAGTATATATATTATATAAATGTATAATTTTAGTATAATATAATTGATTTTGTATTAGGTATATTGTATAATACACATTAAGCAAAACGTAAGTTAACCGATCACTAAATACATGCGATGACTTCATAATATTTTTTTTAAGAGGATGCCACTGTGTTGTCTCTATCGCACAAGTGTGTAGCATAGCAAATTTCACGCTCAGCAGATAACGTTTATCTCCACTAGTTAAAAATTAAGAGCGAATTGAAAAAAAATTAAAGGCAAGATTATTATATAGGGATTCTCATATCCATTTTATTATATTTTAATTTTAAAGCGAGTTATGAATATTTTAAAATTGTAAATTGTTTGTATATCTATAAAAACACTCATAACTCGATTTAAAATCAAAATATAATACAAAGCCCATGAGATGCCCTATACATCATAATCTTGCCTTTAATTTTTTTATCAGGTCAATTCACTCTAAATTTTAAACTAACGGAGATAAACGTGATCTTCTGAGCGTAAAATTTACGAAGCTACGTACTTGTACGATGGATACCACAAATGCGGGTGTAGATTTAATTTATTTTATCTATTATAATTGTATATATAAGCAATTTGTCGATCTAAAATTGTTATATGTGCATTTATTATGTTTAAGTGTAATGACAATAAACATTCTCATGAAACATTCTTATACATTATGCGAATTAAATAATTTAAAGCTGCATCCAATTATTCATGAAGAAATAAAATAATTGAGTTTACCTTAATTACAATAAACACAGATAATAGGTAGCTTTTTTTGTGGTTAGTTAAAAATAAATACTACTTTTTTAACGTCAAAATCCACTCATTAGTATAAATTCTAATAGACACAAATATATTATGGAACCGTTAARTCAAATTAAAATACAAAATATAAAGTTATTAAWTTATTATAAAATATTATTATACGGATAAACTTAATTAAACAAGTCACAGTATTACAGTAAMAAATACATTCATCGATAAATGCGGCGCTGCTTATATAAAACAGAACTATATAGTAACTATTAAGTAATCTAGAATAACTAATCTACATAACTTCAATTTTTGTTATTTGATTTATTTCCACTTTAGCTGTGAGAAGTTAGAGCTAAATAAATTAGCTACAATTTGTAATGTTTAGGTTTGGCGAGCCTTTAATCATTTAAACCGTTAAAAGCTTATATTTTACTCGTAGAATGATGGGTATAATAATATTGGAATTAAAGAGTATACCTCTATACCTATTTATACTTGGAAGTTGAGTRCAATACAACCAAACCAAAACTATAATTTATGTATATAGGTAGGATAAGAGATAAAAGGAAAAACAAAATTATATTTATTCTTTCGTCCACATAAATCTAGTAAAAATGTTGTATGTGCAAATTGTGAGTTTATGTGCATATGTCATGTTATATGATATATATATATCTTTTGTTGTATATTACAACTTTTCACAATTTTCTAAACAGATTCTGGGGAATCCTAAAAGTGACGTCCTAAAATACCATCAGAGTTCAATTTCCAAAATGTATTGAACGGTAAACTTTTAAACCACTCCTTTTACGAGGAAAAATTATAACATAAAAAAATCCATCATTGTAAAACCAATATATTCCTTCCAGAAATAAAACCCTTGTATACATATAATTTAAATTTTTGTTGACGAGTTGTTGGAAGTATACACTTTTTGTGATCGAATTTCATAGTTGCATCGCAAAAAAAATAAATTGAATYTAAAATTCAAGATGAAAATATATAAACTTCAAGTTTTTATAATTAAAAAAATTCAATTTGTCTTTTTTCTCTTAAAAAATTTAAAAAATGTGATAATATACATTGAATAATAAATAGTAAAAATACAGTATAAATAGTATAAAATTATATTTTAAGTACAAAGTTAACGAACCATGGATATTTCAGTGATAAGTAAATAATATATAAATCCACTGAGCTCTATTTCACTTTTTTACTTTCTGGGTTTTTCAAATAAAATTAATGAATTTTGGTTCAAAAATTATTCTGTTGCATCCTTGTATTGGATATATTATATTATTTTATTTGTTTAGTTATTTAATTATTTATGATCTTAATTAAATGTATTTCTTTAAAGTACCTTTTTTTTCCTGTTAAAACTTCTTTAGATACSTATTAATATGTATTTGAAACATATGTTGGAAATGCATTGAATGTGAGCAAAATTTTTTAAATGATAAATTATTTTTAAATAATATTAATTTTACGTTATTATGAAGTTTCATAGAATATGTACTTATAGTAATAGTATGATAGAATGATACTGTCTAATAGAAAATGAAATTTATATAACTTTATATAAAGTATAATTGTAAATAATAAAAAAATGAGAAATTATTTTTCATATTCACTTTCATTAAACAACCAAACCCCTCTACGTTCTTCCCTGTTTCACAGTAACAGTATAATTTCGTGTGTTCAAATATTTCTCCTAACATAAATAAATAAAACATGTAACTTACTCACCTTATAAATTATTGAATCGAATTGGTAGTACCTAAATTTAGATAAATATTATGTATATTATATTGATAGGTATTTCGTTATTACTAATTAATAAACGATCAATTATCAATAAAAATATAAGATTTTAAAAAAACCAACAATAGTAGAGAATTTAAAAATAGTAACAATCGTTATATAATATTGCAACTTATGTAACTTCATTACTTTATTAATGTACAAGGTTAGAAATGATTAATTTGTCAATCTTACTGCGTTTTTTTTTAACTGCATATCGTAATAAAATACGCATTACAAAATATAATCAATTGTATTGTAAT